TTAAAACCCAAGAAATGTGTGGACTGAACAGTCTCTCAGTAAAAAAAGAAATCACAAGCAAACCCACCCCACCCCCAGGAACATTTGAGGAGGTTTGAAATCCTAGCAATGATACTACTAGATGGTAGCAACAGCAGATGCTACAGTACACGTCTTCAGTTTTATCACACGACCTATGTCTTAATCTTATAAAACGGAGGAATGCTGCAGAGCAGGGGATAAGTGGTGATTTCTTGACTGATGCCAGGATTTTCCTCCTTCTAAACAAGTGGCCAGTCTGTCTGAAGGACATAGATTCATTCCCCATCACAAGTCTTTCTGACCAAATACAAAGGACTGGAAAGGCTAAGGGGTTTTATTAGAGGAATAAAAGCAAAGAGATAGAAGAATTTTTTTAAATCCATTGTTTTAAATAAGCCTAAATGAATTACAGTTAGACGAAAGATTCTGCTAAATACATGTTTTTTTAGATTACTGGGTGCTCTAGGTCTTAGTCCCTAAAAGTCTTCGATCTGAGGATATTGTTAGAACTATCAAAATGGAAAGAATTTCAAATCACTCAGCAGCCTCACCCTGGCAAGATACTGGGCTGTCTGTAACACAGACCTTAAGTCACACTCTAAAACCGAGAGTCCAGTCACCTCTCCTCTGTGTTTTCTCCACGCTTACTTGGGCATTCTTTTTCTTCCTTCTCTGTATCTTCAGAACTACTGGGTCCTGAAAGTATAAACCAGTAAAATACCCTTGCCTCCATCATGGGCTGCTTTAGTGCTTGTCACCTTTCCCAGGGACTTGAGGGGGATCCTTTCAAACACATATGGCCCTAGATCACAGAATAGACCCGTGAAGCTCCGCTACACTCCATTTCTGGGGCCAGGATGGTGCACCTTGTCCAGAAAAAAGGCACTGACGGCCACAACCCTTATACCTGCCTCGTGTGTTAAAAGAAAATAAAAATCCAGTGGAATAATCTCACTATGACACAAGATTAAGATCACTGTGTTTTAGGCTCAAGTGCTGACATAAATCAATCCTATTTCCCCAGCCATCTATTGCAATGTATTTATGAAAAGATTTTATCAGTTAATTAGCTGGTCCTTAGGAAATTACTCGTACTTCCTCCTGTTGTGCCATTCTTTTTGAAACAGACCTTAAAAAGAACCCTTCAAGAGGAAAATGGGGTCATTTGGATTTTAAAATAGTTCTCTTAACTGTATTGGGTATGGAGGTTGGAATTTTAAAGTAAGATTTTATCATGTCCTCTTCCGTAGTACAAACCATTTCAGTTATTCAATATGCGGATAGGTAATTACTCACAATACCACTACTGAAATGAGTATGATTTTTATAAATCAGAACTGAAACCTGCATTTCAGAAAGCGCCCTTTAGATACGCTAACATCTATATAGTAAGACACCCCTCAAGTACTCAGGCAGTCAATCAAAAATGAAGCTAAAGTCTACCCTACCCGCTCTGCGTTCAATCCCCATGTCTTTCAGATCTGCTAATTCTGTGAAAACACGTAGTAAAGAAGTACTGCATACACATCTGTGTACTGACCCAGATTCCCAGGTTTGGTAATTCTCTGTGATAACATACTTAGCTACAGTCATTTCTATAGATATATACTAACTTATAAATATATAGGATATATATATACTCCTGCATGCCGTTTTCTCTGTATACATTACCAAAATGCCTTCAAGGAAACCTCTCAGTTTTAATAATTTTTCTTTTACAATTTCTTGCTCTCTTCCAAATCCTAAGTGGAAAAACTCAAAGCACTGAGTTACAGGATCTCACAAGAAAGAAAACCGAGGGGTTACTCTGGCTGGCCCACCTATCTCCCTAGGGCTTTCCTGAGAGTCAGAAAACACAAGGGAGAGGCGGGTAAGGCCACCTGGAAATACCAGTGGCCCTGACTCCACAACTCATGAGGGCTCCTTTAAAGATGTCATTGTAGGGGATTTTCCCTTAATGTTTCCCATTTCCCTCTAAACCACTGGTCAGTCTCTGCAACTATCTAGACCTTATATTATCTCTTCCAGAAAGCAGGGGTGGGTGTGTGTGAGCCAAGACATTCTACAAGGGATTTCCAGCTCAATCTGGGATCTTCAGGATTATGTCTCAGGACCAAGGAGCAAAGGCAAGGCACCAGCCTATGGTCTACAGGCTTTAATTTCTGTTCCCTTGAATTTCACTTTTAAGGTTGTCCAGATAAAGGCTATCTCACTAACACCTGTATTTACGAGGTAGACGTAAAACTTGTAGAGCTAGGGGGTTAGCTGGGCATTTCTTTAAGGCTCAAAATGGTCCATGTATTCTATTCCAACCACACTTATGGATTCTATTCCAACCACGCTTATGGATGGATGCTTTCCAAATCTGGAAAACTTTCAAAAATACCATCTCTTTAGAAGTTAAATGGGTAGCATTTTTTCATAATCTTCAAATCTGGTATTCCAGAATAAAGCCAATTACCCACATTACTCAGTGTTTCTCTTTTTCACATTCCACACACCATCTCTCAGGCATCCACAATGGAAAATTACTCAAATCTCTGTTAACAAGATATACCATTACCAATAGTCATACAGGTAACAAGAACATGTTACAAATGTTTTCTGATACCGAAGAAAAAAAAGGTTTGCTTTTCCTGGCAAATGAAAGTCTGATGTATAATCCACTGATTGGGTGAGTCAAACCGACTCATAATGCTTTGCTGGCCTCGAACCTGTTCCTTTCCCTCCTCTGATCTAATCATGGGCTCTTCTAGATGACTGGAGGGGACGCTGGTCCTCCACGCCAAGGCTTTGAAAAGTGCCCCAAGAAAGAAGGATGTGCTGCCCTGTCTGGGCACCCAGGCAGGAGTCCACCAGCTCCTCTCTGGCTCCCCTATGGGTCTTAACTGCAGCCAAACACCCCAGCCTGAAGGAAAGGGCTTCGGGCTGCATCCCTCCCCTCAGCCGGTTCTCCTGCCTAACCTCTCACGCAAGCCCACCCACCTATACGAAGCTATCCTTCCCAAGCTCCACCTCAAGAATTAAGAGCCAGAGGGGCAAAGGAATACTAATTTCTAGACCATGCGTTTTACCCTTGAAATACAGAAAAGCTTAAGTAGTTAAAGCAAGAAGCAAACAAAGTAAAAAACATCATACTTGGTAGGCAGGTACTTCTCCCAAAGCACCTCCATTTAAGGTATGGTATTTTAATTAAAGAACTTAGCACGTCCTATTTGCTGAGCAGGAATAATTTCCAAGGAGCCAAAACACATTTATTGATTTCTTTGCTTAGCCTATTTCCCCAGATACAAGTCCTGTTTGCTGACATCTCTCTTTAAAGAACAGACCCCTGCTTCTGCACATGCATCAATCTGAATGCACGCCGCGTCAGTTCCCTTTCCACAGAGAAACAAACAAACGTGTCATAAAAACATTGCAAAGAGCTTCTGCCAAGAAAGCCACCTCCCAAACAGACTGCAGCTTATGCTGCTCTGAGCAAGAACGAGAAAGGATGAGCCAAACTGTCAACACAGAACAAAGTTAGACCACAGATTCTGTCTCTCATCTTGTGCGTGTGTGCGCTCACGTGTGCAATTGAGGTTATCTTTATTTAGCTTTTCTGTGGCAAGCTTCCCAATCATGTGAAAGCAATCGAAGGACAATAATTAACAAGCATTTACTTTCTACAGAAAACACCACAGCAAGCCATGACAAAGCTAAGGTAACCACGCATCTGTGGGCTAGTCAATTCTTTTAAAAGTTTCATGGCATGGTGCCTTGGACATGAGGTCTATCATTAAAGAGTATTTAACTGGTTCCTCTGTTCTTTAATAGATTTCGAGTACCCACCCAGTACTTAGACCCAGGTGCCCTCTCCCCCAGTGGCATTTTTACTCACATAATGTGCACATGGGTGCAGCCCACTAGGGATAAAACAAAGCTGAGAAGAATCTGTTGGTGCAAAATGAGAAATCGAATCCTTGCCTGCCTCAGGTGCTTGCTATTATAAACTATGACTAAGAGACATGAATTTCTCTATGATGCAACCCTCAAGAGAGGCAGCATTTTCTCCAGGCCTCTCTTAAACCTGCGCATTCGCCAGTGACTAATGCTCTCTAGAGCAGCCCTGTGCTGCTCAAATTTCATCAGCCGGCTTTGTCCTTGATAGCTCTGCTCTGCCTGGACCACAAAAGCTCCCAAACCTGTTGAGGACAGCCTCAAAAGATCCGGCAGAGCTAACCGTGCCCCGCCAGGCAGCACCAACAGCCATCTTTGCAGCTGCTTCCTGCATTTTATTATCTCAAGTAATGAGCACCTAATGACTGTTTGAAGAAAAAGGTTTTACTCCTCTCTGAACAGTAAAGTCCCAGCCATAACGTGAAAAATAACAAAAAATCAGGTTACTGTAACTGCCCTTTGTTAGCGCAGAAGGAACAAAACTGACAATGTGTTAGGTGAAACCACAATCAACTGGAATTTTCCATTAACTACCTTGTGCACCTTTAAGAGAAAGAAAAATGTCAGGCTCATCACTCACATCAAAGACTTAACTTATGAACAACGAGGCTACGAGAAAAAACCATTAATAGACCTTTGGCCCAGCCTATGTCAGTTATTTATACTGTTTTTTTTTTTTGGTACTGGGATCGAACTTAGGACTTGTGAGGCCGGCGGCAGAACCACTGAGCTGGCAATCACCGGCCCCGTTATTTATACTTTTGAGTGTTCAGTTTTGCAACATTCTTAAGGTTAAAAAGAAATTTAAGGCAGAACTTTGTTCACGAAGTCCTGTCTGAAATAGACTAGAATCATGTTAGAAATAACTTCAATAATGAATCAAAAAAAAAACGTTTAGGGTTAACCTTGAATTATTAAAAGAAGCTACACGCATCCCACTGTACAAATCTGCTGGCTGTGACTGAAGAGTATTCTAGACACGGGTGATCCAAGACCAGGCAGGCTCAGAACAAATATGTCACCACGAGAAAGGTACTTACAGTTATCAGACTGAAAATCTGGAACAAACTGTTCATCATCAGGAACTTGTGCTGGAAAAAGAGATTTTTATTTTAGACCTTCAAGTTTTATTAAAAGGAACCGTAAAAATGTTTTATATGGAAAATAGGACAGCCAAGAAACTTGCCTTCAGCTAACCAAGCCTCTTGAAGTTGACTGAGATCCTGAAACAACTCTGGAATTAAAAACAGAAGACCCCAGGGTAAGGATATTTCTTCTTCTAGGGAGAAGAGGGGTAAGGGTCTACATGCTACGGCCTTGAAGTGATGTGAGGAAGACACAAGATAGCTTCCCTACCTTCAGAATCATGAGCCAGATCGGTGTCCAAAAACTTCCTCTTTCTGTCAATCACAGGCCGCCCTCGACCTTCCTCCGATCGAGATTTCTGAAAGAGGCAGAAGATTCAAGAGTAGCAAAGAGGTCCAAGGGGGGCTGATCCAATAAGGAGAAGGCTCTCAGGCAGAGGGAGGACAAAGTAAACTGAAAGCTGCATGAACTTACCCCTGGGACCATAAAAGGGACTTGCTGATCATAAAACCCATCCATGGTGCTTCCAACGTCTCTAATATCACTTTGAAAAGTTTCAGCATTGAGCAATTTCTGGGGGAAAAGGATCCTCCTGTAATACAAATTTGGGATATTTTAACTTAAAAGGAAAAGAGAAATGAATCCATTTTCTATAGGGCCTTTGCACAATCACTGCCTTTCTCTCAAGTACTATACTTATAGCCACTCTAGGGCTAAGCTTTCAGACCAGCACTGGGCTTGATCAATGACATCAGATATACTCAGTGCCAAATCCAGTTACCCAGTCATCGTTTTCTGCCCTTTCTTCTCTACAGTCATTAAGATTATAGATTTTTGGCACTGACTGTACCTTATCAACAACAAAAAACCAAAAGTCCCCTTATTTTCATCATGAAAGGTGATTTTCAGAATCTCTATTAGAAAATCCTCCAGGGCATTTGCAATACAAATTTAAAAAATAAGAATTTAAGTTTTGACAGTAAGTTGACAAGCTGGGTTCAAGTATTCCAAGTTGTTGGCAATTAAGAATCTGAGGAGCAGGGGATTTAGCTCAGTGGTGCTGCCACCTGCCTTGCAAGTGGCAAGGTCCCGGGTTAGATACCCGGTACAAAAAAAAAAAAAATCTGACACACAGAATCTAAAAGTATTTCGTAGGTCAGTGGTAAAAAACACTATGTAAAGTTCCAGGAATACAACATCAGAAGTATATTTTTTTCACATACAACTCTTTATTTAAAGCTAACCTTCTGTCCAAACAGGTGTATGCCTAAATGTCACGAATTATCTCCATGGCAACTTAAGAGTTATCTGGTATCTCAAACCTTTAACAGAATAAAAGAGCTATGAAAAATAATGAATAAAGAAAACTAAACTCCATTGTATGTATTTTTTAGGGGGATTATTTGAGACAGGGTCTCACTATGTAGTTGAGACTGACCTAGAACTCACTGTGTAGCCCAGGCTGGTCTCGAACTCACAGCGATCCTCCTGCCTCAGCCTCCCAAGTTCTGGGATTACAGGAGTGCACCACCACACCTGGCCACTGTGGCCACTGTATGTATTTTAAATGCAGTTCTACAAAAGGCCTTTTAAAAAGGCCAAAAAAAGAGCCAGGTGCGGTGGTGCAGGCCTGTGTAATCCTCGTACTTGGGAGGCTGAGGCAGGAGGAAGGCAGCAAGTTTGAGGCCAGCCTGGGTTACACAGTGAGTTCAGGGCCAGCCTAAACTACAGAGACCCTGCCTCAAAAAAATAAATAAATAAATAGCTTTTTAAAGGGGCAGAAAAAATAAATGATCCACGGAAAGAAAATTGTACCTTACAGTAAAGTCAAAATTACAACCCCCCTACAAATACAAAAAAACACCCAACAACTCCTATCAGTACTGGTAAGTATTGCAGCTGGACAGAGAGGCTGAGTTCAAGGGAGGGGACAGAATTTTTTATTTAATTTGGAGAAATAAAGTAACAATTTTAGGAAGGTGCCATACTCCTAAACGTTCTTTTATCCTCCATATAAAAAGCAAGGTTAGGTTAACCCATAGGAGGAAAACATTAATTTCACTTACCCTTGCTCTAAGCAATGCAAAAATACTTAAAGGGTAATTTCTTTTGTTTAACTTGCACATAATTTTTAAATAGAAAGCTTTTTTTTTTCCAGTGGGCAATTCCATCCAATTTGTTTTTCACACTGTGCGGAGTGTATCAAATTTTCATAACTTAGCAGGATACAAGAAAGCCCTTCATGGTCAGCCTCCTCCTCAGCACTTGGCCCAAGTAATCAGATATTTTCTAAATGAAAGGAGAGGAGCGAAACAACACAGTTCATAACTTCCTAGAAAAACACTCCCGCCAGCTTGCCTGCCTTCCTGCCTTCCAAATAGCGTAAAGAAAGGGTTCGGAATAAAGTCTCTTTCTCAAAAGGTCTCCTACCTGATTACAAAATCTGAGAAACCTTAGCAGGGATTGGAGGGGCAAGAAAGAGTTCTCTGTCGCCTTCGAAAATCTGTCTGATTAAATCGCAGCCTTAAAAATTCTGTAAATGTCGGGGGATGGACAACGAGTAAAGAGACCAGAGGGAGAGATATTTTCAGACTCGTGATGAAATACTTCACCCTGAAGAGCAAAAATAATCTTTTAAATTTTTTTAAAGAAACTGCCGTAAGCAAATCCAAAAACAGCATCGGAGATCTTTAAAAGAAGCTCTCAGAGTTCAAGGGCTAAAAACACTGTGTTCAAAAGCCTAGAGGGAAGGCTCGAGCGCATCCAGGAGTTTAAACCACATCCTTTGTGCCCCCCTCCCCGGGTGCCCCCAGGAAAACTTTAACACAGCTCTGCGGTGCAAGCGAGGCCCCTCCCCGCGGCGCGCAGCGGGCCGGGTTTTATGAATGGGAGAGCGAGCCGCGGCCGCCACATCAGGTAGAGGCTGTAACTGGATCCCTCGCGCTGGGCCCCATTCACAAAACAAGACACACTTCCACCCAATTCCCAGCCTTCCCCATTCATGAAAACTCCTTCGGCTGCGCCCCCGCCCCCACTCCCAACGCACGCCCAGCCTCCAACGCAGGCCCCTCACCCCGCGTTTCAGGAGGAAAGCTCAATGCTTCATTCACAAAAAAGGGGGGAAAAAGCCGCAGGGAGCAGAGAGCCAACGAAAGAAACCCGCTTCATTCATAAAGTCACCCACATTCATAAAGACTAGGTGCGGCGCCGGTCGCCACCAATCGCTTCCAATTCACAGCCCCCCAACCCAAGCGTCTCTCCTAGGCGCCCCCCCCACGACAGGAGTCACCCCCTCCCCTCCGAAAACGCAGCCAGATTCCGGATCCAGCGCGAGCCTCCAGCATCTCTCCGTCTCCGCTCCACAACCGTGTTCTCCCCATCACCCTTAGGCCCTGTGCTGGAGCTCCCCGATTTTTCTCCAGTCGCCGCGCAGCCCGACGGCCTCACCCTGCCGGGGGTGGGAATGGTGGGACGGGTTGTCCACTCTGCACAACCTGAAACTCGCAAGGCCCGCCTAAGTTGCTGGCCGACCCCCAACGCCGCAGGATGCACATGCCTGTGTCATCCCACCCCTCGGGGTGCCGGGGGGGGCTGCACCTCTCAACATCCCCCCTCCAACTGCTTCCCGCCCCCTCCTCCAGACGGCGAAGCTGCGCCCAGCGTCTCTTCTCGCGAGCCTCCTAGTTCCCTCGGGGCTCAGATCTCCAGAGACCAAAGCCCCGCGACTCCGAGCCTCCCGCCCCACCCCGGAGCCCCGCACCCAAGCTCCCGCGCGCCTCCCCC